TAATCAGTCAATCAGTTGTGTCTTCAGGATGACAAAACAATTTGTATTATTGTATTTTTTTAATGTTTAATCATTGTATACTCCATAAATTTGACTTCTGTTCTTCTGTTTATATTTAAATGATTAAATCAAAAGGAAATGTTATGTTTTAGTTTACAAATATGCAGCCATATATGTGTGGAGCTGACAGCAGCCTTATAGGCAGGCAGATAAAGATCGGCACTGACTAAAAGCTGGGGTTTGTCCTTCCAGCAGCTGTGAAGGACAGCCTTGGGTTTGAGAAAAGATGGACATTGATTTTCTTGGCCTGGTTATATGACCACTGTGGCACTTGCCTCTGATCGTAAGAACTGACCAAATTTTTTCTTAAAAGAAATAAAATTTAAAAAATCCAGATCTGCATGGTTAGGGTACATGTGCATGTGCACAGACAAACACACTTATACAAAATGTGTTTACGGGCATATGTGTTTTCATTTTAAGATGTTTTTAGTGTGTGCATTAGGATCTCTGTATCAGTCAATTGTATTTGTTTCCCAGATTATTTACGTAGATCTTTTTTTTTTTCAAAGTTGAAATTCAACATTTCCAAACCCCTGCTTTTCTAAAACAATGAATAAGATCCAGCGCCTTTGGGTGTGCCCAGTTTTCCTCTGAAGTGGTTGACTGGAGATTGAATGTTCAGTGTTGCATTTGAGGCCCAGACTCTAAAAGCTGGATCAGGCTGATCTAAGGCAGTCCATTCAGTTCAGTTGAATGGACTTACTACATTAGATATTGGCAGGATTGAGTAGCAGTTTGGAAGAATTTCATTCTAGCTGCAGCAGCAGCAGCTTTCATTTGCATAATAGGAAGCACAGACTTTCAAACACTAACTTAAAAACACAGAAGAACTGTGAGAAAGCCTAACCATGTTACTTGCTATTGCTTGTGATAACAAACCTTTTTTTTCCTACTACCATCTCCCTTTGAAAATAAAAGCATCAGACTCCACAAAAAGTATGATGATTTCAAGAAACACAAAAAACCATGGTAAAGATCATTTACGTACTATCACTGTAGTATTCACTTATAATTCAAATGAAGAAACATAAAAAAACAAATTAACATATACATTTCCCCTAAAAAAACAACAACAAATTATGTTGTATGTATTAGCATGGTTTATTGCTTACCCTGTTAACTCTTCATTAAGTGTGATGCTTTTAATTCCAATCCGGTCGTTAAGTGATGACGTGACGAATCCTACTTCCGGGCCTAAAGTAGTCTGCATTTAATTTTGGCTTTTGTGTTGTTAACATGTTTAATGTTTTGTATTTTCTTCTATTTAATCTCAAAAAGCTCCTAAAACAGTCAGTGATCACTGTTGACCTCCCTCGGCTTTTATTACCGCTAATCATTTATTTAAGCTCAGTTTTTAAAACCTTACGATGTAACTACAGCCCAGCCCATGCAGCAGTATATGAATGACTAACCTCGTATTGTGGATGGATTATCTCAGTTGTTCTCCTTGATGAAGTTTGGTCCTTTTACAGCATCCTGCCATGCGATTACATTTGTTCCTGACCACCGAGAACACTCACGTTAACTTTTATCGAGTGGAAAAAGAGTTAGCTTGTTTATATTATGCTAACATAGCTGTGTCGCTAGCGGTCACGTAGCACACCATTATATACCAGCTAGCCAAACTTCAGTAACCCTACAAACGTCACTGCTGTTTAGTTTTCTGTCTTCATTTATGTTGGAAGTGATAACATTTTAATTTGTTTCCAAAACCCCGCAGTCAGGACATGCTATATTGTATTTAGATAGAAGCTAGCGAGCTAACTTCCTGCTAACTTCTAACTCCGTTAAATGTTATAAATTCCGTTTTCATAGATGCCTGGATGTTAAACTCAATTGTTACACCTGGTAGAGCAGAACGCTGATCATTTTATTGAAGATGAAAGACTTTAGACAGTAATGCCATAGTGATCGTTTGATATATGGACCTGCAGCGGAGTTTAGGCCCAGACACGGCTAGTGACGTCAGACTTAACGACCGGATAGAGCACAAGCAGTAGCAGGAAGAGAGTTTGTCTGAAGGAAGAATGATACATGAAAAAGCTTCTTCCAAAAGAGTGAACCTTTTTTTTTTGGATCTCATTAGCACGTGGCACAAGGTCGGTTATTATTTCACTTCATTGTGTACACTTGTGGACTTTCTGTCATTTAAATGCATAAAGGAGTAGATTTGCTGTTTCAGACCAAATACACAGCAGGTCTTTCTAGCTTAAGATGTGTTTAGCATTCTGTGGTTGCATTATTCTTGTAAACTAGAAGCAAGTCAGTCTTTTTAAGTTTATTCTGCAGGAATTACATTTAAGTCTATATTTGCTGGGCTAAATCTGCATTTCGCATGTGATTAAGGGGAACTCTACATTACTCAGATTGTTTTATTATTGCCTGTTATGTTGAATGCATTTACTGATAACGCTCAACCAAAGTTTGTTTTATTAATTTGTTAATTAAAGAATTACTGAAAGTAGAATACAAATATTAATGTAAACATCAATTTATTTTCAGAGCAGTTGTTTCTTTACATAACTAAGACTAGACTTCCACAAAGTTTTTTGTTTGATTGTTTTCCACAGGTCTTGTTGTCTTTCACAGGATGATCATAATCTATTTAAAGAGACACAGTGGAGTATTTGGTTATCAATGTGTGAGTTAGACCATCATTCATGTATTTTAAGGGTGAAATAACTGTAACATAACATCAGATACTACACATACTACACTTTTTATGGTTCTTCATTATCAACTGTAGATAATATTACAATCAATTTGATCAATAATCAGTTATAGTTATTAACACAGAATTAAGTAGAAATGGGTTTTTGTGCATTTTCTTAGCCCTGATGTTTGTTTGTTATAGAATCTGCCACATGTGTCTGAGTAATCATTATAATCCTTCAAATTCTATGGAACAATGGTGCACTGGTTAGCACTGTTGCCTCAAACTTCACACTTAGTACTGGAAGATACCTTAAGAAAAGGTATGTGCATCTAATCAGAACAGAAGTTCATTGGTGCATCCCTGTTAGTTAACAAATGGGGCCATGCCAGCACAAAGTATGCATGTTGTCACCAACAATATCCTTGCATCTCCATTGCTCTGTAGTTCCCGATCCACAAACTTTGGCCCAGTATATCTCTTAAAAGGTATGTCCCTGCTACTAAATAAGGCACAATGTATTACTGGGTGGTCTTGTGGGGTTAACACGGTTCATTTAACATTGTAATGTGAAACACCACCACATATTAACTATGCAGTTAAGTTAAGATGAGGAATAACTCCATTCAAAACATTTATTGACACTTTGGAGATGCAAGGTCTGCAGAAATAGAAGCAGCATGTAGAGATGGCCGAGCAACGGAATGGAGCTCTTTGTTTTGTTTTGTTTTTTAAAGTTTTGTCAGAATCAGCACATGGAAAAAGAAACACGTGGGCTGAATAACAAGCAGATTCACTTCTTCTGATTGATGATGAGCAGTGATCAAAAAAAGCATTTGTCTTTTGCCCTCCATAGTGAATCAATCTGCGCACATCTAATGCAAACTAAATGTCTGTTTAAAGTGTGTTTTGATTTTCAGCATCAATCTTTAATACAGCTGGTACAGTTATGTAATCTTTTCACATCATTATTATATAAGGCCTAATCTCAGCTTTGTGAAGCAAAAATCCAGAAATGATGAACGCTATGACTTTGGTTCAAATCATCAAACAATGTTATATTAGGTAAGATGAAATCTAAAGCCTATTTGACATTTTTAACAACCTTGATCATGTCTCTCATTTCTTCTGTATCAATACAGGACAGTAAAAAGAAAGGGAAGGAGTTCAAGCCTGCTTGAAACATGGACTTCCACGATAGAAGAAAGCAACGTCTCCACCCCAGAAATGGTCAGAACATGCATTGCACTTGTTCATTTTTTCTTTCTTGCGGGCTTTGTTTAACACTTTCTTATGAAGATTGGAGGTCAGGTGAATACAATTGAGGAACTAATGAACATCCGCTAAGTGTAGTTTAAAAGGGATGTTGGCTGCACAAATTGCAATCAAATATTCAGACTTAACCTTTGATCATGAATTAAACACCTTTCTGGAAAATTTGCAGACACTGAGGGAGAAAAGTGTGGTGTGCAGAGGTTAAACAGCTGGTGTGTGACATATGCAGGTAAGTGTATACATTGCAGTCAATAACATCAATAACATCCAGTGTTCATAGCAGTGTCAAAACAATTACAAACACATTGGCTCAAAACAGAATAACAATGACAATTCAAGAATCATCAGAACTTGAACTGTTTGCCCTTTAAAACATCTGAGTGCCAAACAATGGGAATGTCAGCAGAGTGGTGAAGAGAAACTCTGCACATTCGACAACACTTTCACCTTGAAGTGTTAGTGAATGAGAGTGTGGACACATTTTGCTGTTGTAATTTTGACCAACAAACACATTTCCAATAGAATCAGCAGGATTTTTTTCTTCCTTTTGTTTTGTTAAATTATTCTTGTTTAAACCCAAAGAAAAGGGATAGCAGAAAAGTGTTACCTTCAGCCCCGGGGTCAGGTCGTCGGGGTCAAAGGTGGTCAGAGGTGAAGGTCCAGGACGTGAGCCATAGGACAGGACAAAAGGGTGGGACACGTATTGGTGGCGGTCACGAAAAAGCACAAAGATATGGCAGCAGGGAGAGGAAGGAGAAGCAGGAGGCATAACCAAAAGTCAAAAAAGAAAAAGTAAAATGTGACAAAGAAGGGGCAGCAACAGGGGAGAATGATGCAAAAGATTAAAAGCCAAAGAGGAGGATTTGGGGGGAAATGGAGGGATATGGCACAGAGGGAAGGTAAAAAGCAGAGGAGGAAACTGTGAGAGAAAGCAGTAGTTTTGGGGCAAAGAGGGCTGAGTCAGTTCCTCTAAAAACAGAACCAAAATAAAAAAGGAATGAACCCATACCTTGGTCGTTTAACGTCAGGTGCGCCAGACCTTGAAAGGGAAAAAACAGAAAAAAAGAACAGAAAGAGGAAGAAAAGAAGGTCATAAAAGGCACGGGAAGAAAAAAAGCATTGTCACAACGTTGGACTGCAGTTTGTGACAGACATCCTGGGGCAGACTTGGATGTCAGAGTTCAAATCAAAGGTAAAAAACGAGAAAGAGAGAGAAAGATAGAGAGAAAGAGCGAATAGTAACGGAAAACGAGCAAACACTTCTTGAGTGAGGTGTGTGGGCGGGTGGGGGGGTTAGAAAAAAAAGCATTTTTAATTGGCGCAACCCCCGAAGGCTATTGCTCTCACAAATGCTTTTTTTTCCTTTGGAGTACTTATGGAACACACAGAGAACTGTTTGGCAGAAAAGGCTTGAACCTGGTATCTCATATCCAACTGTACTCAAACCAGACACACACTCACACACACACACAAAGAGCTTTGCAAGGTTCACACAGAGGAGGTCAAAGATAAATCTGGAAACATGCTACAGGATCAAACGTTCTCTGCACCCTAATGTGGGTAGATATTATCAGAACACCATTTGGAAGCAGTTATTAAGCTGGCTGTAGGCTACCAAGCAAACGTCTAGCCAAACACGCATTTCAATAGATTCAACAGAGACAATGAGCTCCTGCTGGTGCTAGTAGCTAATATAAATCTTACATTATGCAACTTTCAAAAAGCCATAGTCACAGAGATCAGTTCCAGATACTCTATTATTATTCAACGCCATGAACACACACACAGAAAACTGTTGAGAATACAATCCCAGAAAGAGTACCTGCCCCCACATAAAGACAACAACGTGCTTCCAGCTGTCTTTAAAATAAGCAACAACCTGAACATTGTCCACCTGTCAAAGGTTGTTGCCTAAACTAGATGAAGTTACAAACACGGAAAAGCAGTTTTACAATTCATGGTTTTCACAACTGGATGAACATATTTAGTGAACTTCAAACTTTTCCATACATAGACTTTACTTCCACAGCAGGATGTACTCCAACTCTTTAATCTTGGACTACAGCTAATGTCAGTAGTTCTTCTTCTACTTCTCTAACCAGAACCTCCAGCAGGCAGTTCATGTGTACGCTAACCTTACCGAGGCTGCAGAGAAGACCAAGAAATATCGCTGTCAGCTAGAGTCAAAGACTCTATGGATGGAGTTGGTGTTTATGAGCAGCACAAGAGTGTCATTCAGGAAGCAGTTGCTTGCATTTTTTAGTTATTGACAGGAACCTCGCAGGCAAAATAAAGACTATAGAGGAGAAATATAAATGTATATGGACACAGTATAAAGTATATGCATTATTATTAGTAATTGTACAGTGGTGGACAGATGGTGACCAATTGAAACATTTTAACATCCCCACTCTTTTTAGCTACTATATAGTTCCTGTTTGGGGAAAGCTATCGTACTGGTGGTTATAAGGGAAAAAGCGTGACAAAAAAGGAAAAACAGGAAAAGAGCTGTTGTAAGCTTCCTATCAGCTGACAGTGGTCATCAGCTGCACACATAGAGCAGCAGGTTTTTCAATAGAATTCTTGGAAGTAAACCATGTCAGTCAGATAAATAAAACTGAAAAGACTGAAGCGCTATGGCCTCAAGCAGAGTTTATTCCCACATACACTAAACAGCTACAGCAAATTGGATTTAACCCCAGGCTGCACGGAATACAAACAGCACTATGTCTGTTGAACTAGAAGACCCAGAAGGTCGAATCATTTCATCTTCGTCTTTTCTTGATCAATACCACTTCAAGCATAAGACTTTTGGTGTTATCAGCAAACAGCTTAATATAAATAACAATTTATGATCGAGGGAACAAAGAGCAACAGCTTTTAACTGTTAAACATTACTTCTTGAGCAGGGATAGCTCAGTAGGTAGAGTGGTGGCCCTATGATCGGAAGGTTGGGGGTTCGATTCCCCTGAACAGCTACTCTGAGGTACCCCTGAGCAAGGTATCGTCCCTACACACTGCTCCCCGGGCGCCCAATAGCTGCCCACTGAGTGAATGGGTTAAATGCAGAGAGGAATTTCCCCACGGGGATCAATAAAGTACACTTTCTTTCTTTCTGGTTTTAATATCAGCCTCTGGCAAACAAACAAAAGTTCAAGTCCCAGTTAGCAGCAGTGATCTAATCCATGCATTCTATGACATGCTGGTATTCTGCACATTGAATGATTTCCTAAAAGTGTCTGTTATTGCAGATCATACTCAGAATACATTTAAATAGCAATCATTCAGTCTCAGTACAATTTTTCACCTAACCGCCCAAATAAATAATGTGCTAAAACACAGATTTAGAACTCTAGCAGTACCAAATAAGAGCAACAACCATTAAAGCAGAACTAATCTCAGCCGCGACAGCTTGCACGAACAGCAAATGTTGTCTGTGTAACAATTTTAAGCACAAAGAGTGACTAACTGAAGCGCTTGACAGCTAAAGTTTTCTAAACGTTTGGTTTCTGCTTTTTCTTGAAGACACATCGGACAACAAAAAAGTGTTTATAGTCAAAAGTGGCTAGCTGTTAGTCTATGCACATACACATCTACACTACCAACCAGCAGGCAGACAAATCAGAAGGCAAAGCCTACAGAAGCTCAAATGACTCTTCACTACAAGCTGTTCCTATTGTCCTCTTTCTTAATAACATCTGTGATTCAGGGGAAGAAGAAATATACAGGCAGAGTGTTTTATTTATCTGGCTTCAGTCCGTTTCCTGCCGGCCTTTTGCAGGGAGTTCAATCATTCTCACTCTGCCTCCTTCTGTTTTTGTTCCCTTGCTCATAATCCATTAAGGAGATAAGGCGAAGGCTCCTGCAATGAAACAGAATGGTGCTGTCGCTGCATACCAAATCATTCAAATACATCCCCCCACCTCCCACCCCGACCTCATCCAGCTTAGCCGAGCAAAAAGCAGTGGTACAATTTTATGGAAAAGGAACACAAAAGAAGGCAAAGAAGAGGTAAAACAGACAGAAAAAGACAACAAAAAAAAAAAAAACGAAAACAAGGTGTCATTGGCATTATCACAGCTTGTGCAAATGAAAGATTAAGAGACAGGTGTGCAGATAACAAAATGTAGCCAAAAGATAATCAAAAGGACACAGTGATTCCAAGGTATTGTATTAAAAAGTAAAATAGAAAAATGTAAAAGATTTCTTCCAAATTGCAGGACACAAAAGCCACATACACACATCATGTTAAATCAGCACAAGTCTTCGATGTCAGACTCCCAACATGCCAGATCCCGACTGGGGTTTTAATGACTTTCACTAGCAAGTTGTTGAAAGAGAGGCAGCAGCATGGCAGAAAAAATAAATTACTGATCACTTTAAGATATCCAGAAACAACAGACACAAGAAAAACGCTCCATCTCACATTAATATTGAAGCACAAAACAAATTTACCACAACCAAAAGCAGCATTGCTCCACACACACTGTGAACGTGACAACATCTCAGTCCAAACTACGAGTTTTTATCCTTGAGCATTTGATTGCATCCTTAGTTTTGGTGAGTACAGATGGGAGTGCCTAACGGAACGGGCATAGTTTGGAGAATGGCTGGTGGTTTTGATTGAATGGCAGATGGAGCAGGGTAATAATTCTGTCATTAGGAGGAGTCACGTTTGCATCTTATCCCAAATGCTCTTGTTCCCGTTTGTTGTTTTTTTGACCTCTTCTCATTCCCCTTCTCAATGCGGAGCCCTGCATGAGCCAGCTGCTGTCACCTCCTGCTCTCTTCTACCTCGTGATTTTTTTTGCTCTTATCGGGACCAAACGAAAACAGCCCAAATGTAGAACAGAGACCAAGACTGATTTGCTGCAACAAGACAATTTATTGGTTATGGCTGAAGTTAGGCTAAAAGGCTAACTCAGGCTAACTTTACCCTCTGCCACTGGCTAGCATAGCCAATGGCAGAGGGGCAAGGATGCGGCTGGAGGTGGAACTGGAAGGAGGAAAAGCAGGGTTATACAGGGTTATCAGAATCTCAGGGCTGCTAAGGGCTGGAACAAGACTAACTGACAGTTGTTGCAGAGTGTAAGATCTGGCACTGTGAAGGCCAGAAAATAAGCTTGCAGCAGTTGAAGGTGACTGGATGATGCAAAGTCTGACCAACACTACACTACTCTATACTACAATACACTACACCACATAATTTGGACAAAGATCATGTTAAAAACAAATAAAGACTTTAATGGAACTTTAATGCAATTGAACCATGTGAACAAATAACCCCAAATAAAATGTAAGCAGAATGTAATCTCCTAATCAGCTCTGTGACACTCGGTAATGTAAACAATAAAAACAGAAAGCAACGTTTTCCAAATCTCACAAACTTGTGGTTTAGTCACAACAAAAAAATGTGAAAAAATATCAAATGTTTAAATTGAGAGAGTTCACAGTTTCAGGCGATATATTAGCAGATTTTGAATTTGACAGCAGCAACGTGTCTCAAAAAAGTTTGGACTGGGCAAAAGGTTGCTGGAAAAGTAAGCTGGAGAACATTGTGCCACTATTAAGGTGAACTAGCAACTAGACAGTAACATAACTAAGTTTAAAAAGAGATTAAAAAACAGCATCTACAAAATCTTGACGATTTCAGAATAATTTTCCTGAATGTAAAAATATGAAAAAGAGAAAATATATGAAAATAATGAAGAAATGGTTGTATTGTCTTTGGGCCAAAGGTCATTTAAAATGGACTGAGGCAAAGTGGAAAACTGTTCAGTTATCTAAAAAGGATTCAATTTGAAATTTGTTTTGGAAAATATGGATGCTCAGGAAGAGAGAGGTCACCCAGCTTGTTATCAGCACTCAGTTCTGAATCCTGATGGTATGGCGGTGCATCAGTGCCTATGGAATTGGCAGCTTGCACATGTGCAAAGCAGCAGTGCAGTGGAGCACCGGGAAAGGCCAGCAAGACAATTCTAAATTCACACACTGCAGCTATTAAAACAACATGACTTCATAGCCTGCCTGCAGTCCAGA